AAATAGCAATGGGAAGATTATAAATAGCATTGTTTGTGTGTGTCTAACTTTATTGCAAATATCATCACTAGATTTCAACATAGCTCTGTTCAATGAGCTGTGATTTGATTAATTGTTCAATCTCCTCCAGTACTTTGCTGTCTGGTTAACATATATTGGAACCCGGGTAGTTGACTATAAGAAAGTAAATATTGAGGAAGAGATAGCAAGAGCTATTGTGAAGATTATAAGATTAAACAGTAGCTGATGTAAAACAGCACCCCCTCCATTAAAGTTCTTCTGCTTCACATAAATTCAGGATTTTGCATCATCCTTTTTAACAATGTACAAACCTCGATTTAAAATAATAATAAAAAGATGAATATTATGACTAAACTCTCCACAATAAAAATTTCTTATTAACATGCTGATGTAGACATTATTCTGACCATCAGTTTGAAGAATTTTTGTAAGAACATTACAAGATTCCAGAGGCTGAGCTTGCTGACTACTGCTCTAGGATTTCATAGATTTCATAGACATTAGGGTTGGAAGGGACCTTGCGAGATCATCGGGTCCAGCTCCCTGCCCAAAGGGCAGGAAGTCAGCTGGGTTCAAATGACACCAGCAAAAATAATCATCCAAATGCTTCTTGAACATGTCCAGATTAGGTGCTTGTACCACTTCTGGGGGGAGTCTATTCCACTCTGGAAACTCAGACAGTAAGGAAGTTTTTCCTTATGTAGTCTAAAATGCTCTCCCACCAGTTTGTGACCATTAGACCTTGTCTTTCTTTGGGGTGCCCTGGTGGGCAGACATTCTCCCAGATCCTGATGCACACCCCTGATATACTTATAGGCTGCCACTAAGTCCCCCCTGAGCCTACGCTTCTCCAAGCTGAAGAGTCCCATGCCCCTCAGCCTCTCCTCATAAGGCCTGCTCTCTTGCCCTCTGATCATGCACGTAGCTCTCGTCTGGACTCTCTCAAGCTTCTCCACATCCTTTTTAAAGTGTGGAGCCCAGAACTGGATGCAGTACCCCAGCTGTGGCCTCACCAAGGCCGAATAAAGCAGGAGGATGACATCTTGGATCTTGCTTGAGATGCATCGGTAGATACAAGCCAGGGTTTTATTTGCTTTGCCGGTTGCAGCATCACATTGGTGGCTCACGTTCATCTTGTGGTCAATCATGACCCCCAAGTCTCTTTCAGTCATGGTGCTAGTAAGCATAGCACTGCTGAGCCTATAGAACCCACATCATACCTTTCTCCCGAGGTGGAGCACCTTGCATTTCTCTATGTTGAAAGTCATCAGGATGTGATCTGCCCACCTTGCAGACCTGTCTAGGTCAGCCTGAATCCACAGCCTATCCTCTAGCGTGACTGTGCTTCCCCACAATTTAGTGTCACCTGCAAACTTAGTCAGTCTGCTTCTGACACCTGAATCCAGATCTTTTATGAATATATTAAAGAGTATTTGTCCGAGTACTGAACCCGGGGGGACGCCACTTGTCACCAGGCACCGTGTTGACTTGGTTCCATTGACTATCACTCTCTGGGTCCAACCATGGAGCCAGTTCCCCAGCCATCGAACCGTAAGGTTGTCAAGGCCACAGCTCCCCAATTTTGCCATGAGGACATCATGGGAGACCAAGTCAAAGGCTTTTTTGAAATCCAAGTAAATGACATCAACCTCTCCTCCCCTATCCAGGTGATGCATCACACCTGGTCATAGAAGGAGAAGAGGTTGGTCAGGCATGACCTACCCATAATGAAGCCATGTTGGCTGTCTCTCAGAATGATGCCTTCTGTTAGTCTGTTGTTGATGGATTGTTTAATAATTTTTTTCCAAGATCTTTCCAGGGATTGAGGTCAAACTTATTGGCCTTTAGTTCCCTGGATCTTCCTTCCTTCCTTTCTTGAAGATAGGCACCACATTGGCCCTCTTCCAATCTTCAGGAACCTCTCCCAAGCACCACAAGTTCTCACATATCCTCACCATTGGCCATGCTACAATGTCAGCCAACTCTTTTAGCACTGTTGGGTGCATTCCATCTGGGCCCGCTGCCTTATGGCCCAGCCTCTCAAGGTCTTCCCTCACAAGGCCATCACCAAATGTAAGTGTATGGTTACCCGTACCCTTGTAATCCTGTGTCCTGTTAGGCAGGGTGATCCCTTTGGGCTGGTGAAAAAACAATGCAAAGTAATGATTGAGGAGATAAGCTTTTTCCTGGGTGTTGGTTGTCAGCTGCCCCATTTGGTTCAGCAAGGGTCTATGTTGAGATTATTTTTCTTTCAACTTTCCACGTATCTGAAGAAGGACTTTTTATTGTCCTTGATAAGAATCAAGTAATAAGCAAGAATCAAGGACAATAAAAATATTATACTATATTTGATTCCTGTAGCCAATTTGAGCTCAGTTTCAGCCTTGGCTTTTCTGTTCTGCTCCCTACAGGTTCGGGCCAGTGATGCATAATCCTCCTTAGTGGTGTTTCCTGTCTTCCAACCCTTATAGGCTTATCTTTTAAGATTAAGTAGGTCCATGAGTTCCCTATTGAGCCAAGAGGGTCTCCCAGGCCTTTTACTACCTTTCCTACAGGCCAGAATGGACTTCTATTATGCTTTTAGGATCGCGTCCTTAAGGAGCAACCACTCATCTTGGACTCTCTTCCCTGTCATATCATGACGTTTCAGGGCCTCGACAACCAACCTCCTTAGCTTGTGAAAGTCAGCTTTCCTACAGTTGAGGATTTCTGCATTGCTGACTGATTTTCCAGCTTTGTGATGGATAGAGAAAGTGATCAACTTGTGATTGCTGTCATCAAGCTTCCGTTCAACCCTCAGGTCACTCACTAGATAGTCCCCTTTGGCCAGAACCAGATCCAGCAGTGCCTCACCTCTTGTCATCCTGTGGACTTCTTGAGCCAGATAGAGCTCCTCAATGCAGGCAAGGAAGCTGCGTGACTGATCAGATTTGACTGAATGCTTTTCACATGAGATGTCAGGGTGGTTGAAATCACCCACGACAAACATGCACTGACAGTGCGCAGCCTCTGTTAGTTCCCTAGAGAATTCATGGTTCAGTTCTTTCTAGTAGTTAGGAGGTCTGTAATAGACTCCTACAGTAATATCCCCTTCACCACATTTTCCCTGTATTCTAACCCAGAGGGTTTTGAGCCGCCCTCCTTGGGTGCCAATGTCTGCTAGTAGGGAAGCATACTGCTCCTTGACATAGAGAGCTACACCCCTGCTCTTCCTCCCAACACGATCCCTCCTGTCCAGGTACAGCCATCTACACCTATGGTCCCACCAGGTAGAGTCCCACTAGGTCTCCATTATCCCTATGAGATCATATTTGTTATTGCTTAGCAGGAGGGCCAGTTCCTCCTGTTTGTTCCCCATGCTCCTGGCATTTGTGAACAGGCAGCTAAGCCTGCTATCAGAAGCCCTAGGCTTCTTTATGCACTTAAAAGAGTTCTATCCTTGGGCTCAGATCAGAATAAGTTTGATTGTATTTCCTGACCTGCTGATTATGTGCTTGTCACTTCCTGGGCTTGCCCCGATTATTGTCCACCTGTCCTCCAGCAATCTTAGTTTAAAGCTCTATCAAGCAGGTCAGCCAATCTGGCCGAGAAAAACTTCTAACAATACTACCTCTAATACAGGTGGGAGTACACATGGAGCAAACACACATGTTCCAATATAGCCCTTCCTGGCACTATAATTGAGCAAGCTAGAAACACTTCTACATTCATGCTTACTTTTGGTTTCACTGGGAGTGTCTACATGTGCCATTAGCGGGTAGCAGTAAACTGTGGAGCTTAACGTCCCACGGTTTATTTTGCTGCCAGGAAGCTCCCAGGCATGCATCTGCATGTATGCCTAGACGGCAGACCATTGAGCTGGGTCGCAGCAGGCCCAGCCAGAAGGTGGCCAGCCCAGGCTGCTCCAACTGGGCTCAATGTGCTGGAAGGGCTGGCTGGGACATGAGGATGCGTCAGTGTGGGGTAGCTGGCAGGCAGCCCTGGCACTGAACCATCTTCATGTCGCAGCCAGCGGTCAGCATCTATACGTACACTGCTGCGCATGAAAAAGCTCTGGAGCAGGCTAGTACTTGTATTTACAAGTACTACCCTGCTGCAGATTTTATTCATTTCATGCACCCTAATAGGGGCACATGTTTAGATGCTGAGACATCTACTGCACAGTTAATTAGTCAACTCCGCAGTAAATGTCTAGCCTCAACACTCCCATTGAGAATTACTCACTTGCTTAAAGTTGAGAACATGGTTACATGATCAGGGCCTCTGTGCTGTAGGATAAGGATCTGGCCCACTTTGACTATATTCAACACCCATAGTGTAGGCCACAGAGAGAAAGATTATTTTGTAAACTACCTCTCCTTTTCTTTACATTCTCTCAGTTGAGGCCCTCTCCTATTCAGGCACATATGGCACTCCTGCAGCAACTTCAGCAGTTAATAGAAAAAATCATAGGAAAGTATTTAATATATTCTTGACTCGCTGAATCACATTCTCAGAATTAAGCACATATTTTTGAGTAATCTCATTTTTAGTACTTAACCACATGCTAAAATGCCCTAGATTTAAACACATCACTTATGCTTAAATGGTTGTAAACATGGTTGAACTGGGGCCTCAGTAATATTCAGCTGTTAGACTTGAGGCAAGGCAATCCAATATTACCAAGTGACTTTTTTCAGAAGAGCAGCAAATGCTCCCACAATCCTTTCCCTATGAAATAAAAGCCACAATTTGAGAAGCCTATGATTTAATAATCAGTTGTAAATGGGGAACCATCTTTCTACATTTCACTTCCTAGATTTTGTGGTGATTATATAATTTTCTCACTGCTACTGGAACTTTTTAAATTACTTTTAAACCTTTGTTGTCAAGGTATAAAAATGTAGAAGTACATCGATACGCCAACTCATCTCAGGATCTTGTATTTGAATTTATACAATATAAGTAAAAATAAAAACCATTTAAAACTACCTTTGTGTTCCATATGTTTTTTATTCTGAGATTAGTAATACAAACACCAAAATACCTGAACACATACTGTGTTTTTCCACATTTTGTACAATGAGGTGGGATAAAAGGGAAGCTGGTATTAAGCAAGTTGCTGAAAAGAGAAAGATGAAAATGTAGCTAAATGCTGTAATGTATTTCCAATTTACTAACATATGTACAGTTTTCAGGATGTTTCTTTAAGCAACTTGCTCTAATAACATACACAAAATATAGCTTTATGCTTACAACACCTTTGACATTTGATTTGCAGGCAGCTATACAAATATAGTATAATATTTTTCCTATCAAGACTTTGTATATATGAAAAATTATGGTACAATACAAATATATACATAGGGTGTTAGCAGTTCAGCAGCTGCTAACCTAAAATATACATCTAAAATGTGACTGCTCAGACTTTGAAATACAAAATACAAGAGCAATCAGAAATGCTTTTCATTTAAATAGCAATTTACATAAACATTAATATCTTCATTATCTCCCTTTGGTTAGAACTGGAAAAAAGGTTCACCTTTGCCTGGCTGCATTTGTACTTGGCAAGAATTACAATTTTAGATAATCCACTTTATCTGTTTTAGGCAAAAGATAACATATTTGTAAGGCAAAGTAAATGCCAGCTGGTTCCCATTCAAGCTATAAAGAAAAATGATAAATTCCCACTCTGAAAAGCTTAAAAATAATGGACAATATTTGCTTTCCTGATCCTCACCTATTGATAAATATGCCCGCGAAGGAACTGTAAGATAAATCATTCTCTCAAATACAGTTCTTTACTATACAAGTCTTTGCCAAGTGAAGTTCAACTTTATAAAATATACTCATTTACAATAATAATTCACATGCTTTGTGGTAAAGAATCCCAAAGAATTTCCAAATAGGTCTAGCTGCTGAAAATAATGAAGGGGTAACAAAAGTATATTACAAGTTCGTTTTTATATCCCATGAAGTTTGTTGAGAAGAAACATAACTCGAAAACATTATTACAATCAGCTGCTGTGAGATGTGTTTTAACCTGAGACAGAGTACAATAGCAGTATTGCTACCAAGCACCTACTGCCTCCCAAGAATGAGCAAAAGTGAAATCTGAGCCCTCTATAAGTCCATAGTAATTTTCTCATTTACTTTAATAGGATGAAGCTGTCTCCTAAGTATGCTTTATCTAAAGAAATTGCCAGAAGGCAAACAGCATGAAGTGGAGGGCTTCGTGTGATGCTGAGGGTTTCTGGAACCAACTAAAAGGTACCAGGGTAGTAGTAGCCCTGCGGTAGTAGCCCTGTGGTTATTAGTTATAGGGACTACACGTCAGGAGAAAAAGGATGGAATACTACTTATCAAACTTAAAAACAGAAGACATGAATGAACTGAGCAAAACCAAACACTCAGTGCTAGAAAAAACATTCAGTCTGAAAATGAAAGGTATGTCCTAAGAAAAAGGTTGCTTTGAATTCTGAAGTCTCATGACTCAATTTGTAAATAAAGCAAACATCTCCCAAACCAGCTTATGAAAAAGCAAAAATTGTCACGTATGGATAAATCATGGTGACAGCCCTGGCACATGTTGTGTAGTAGGTGGTGTTTTTTGACATGTGTTACGTGCATAGGTAACAAACTGGGAGCTTGTTTTTGTCTGCAAAGTGTTGCCAAGCACATTTGATGGCTTTTATACTGAGTCTTCCTTATCTCTTGGTTTCATCTCTATACTCTTTTACAACATTCTTCCTTTCAAAGCAGAAATTGGTTGCACTCATACCTCTTTGTGAACTCTAACTTGATTTCAAGCCAGATTGGATTCAAATACAGTGGATTCCTGTGGAGGAAGATATTGGCTGGACACATTTAACCATTTAATATTTTCCTGCTCTTGTTCCAAAAGTTCTTGCATCTATATGGCCATTGCTGTTCGAGTGTGACCATTTTGGCATGCTCTCATCACTGATAAGATTTTATAAACTCCCCATCTCTAAACTATGTTGATTGGAATTGATCTCTTTTTCACTTCCCTCATCATCTTGAATTGGCCCCTAGACTCACACTCCCCAACCATCAAAATGACCTACTGTGCCACTGCCTTCCTTTCCTTTAGTCCCCCACATTCTGAATGTTTTGATTCATTGCAGAGAAATTTTGATTAACAGTGTCTATACCACTTCTGCAGCTATCCCAAGACTACTGCCAAGAAATAAGCTTGGCCCACTCATTCAGTCCGGCTCACATGCTACATGCCAAAAAAAAAGTTGTGTGGTGGCTATTAGAACCATGTCAGGCATGCCCAGGGATACTCATGGGAGCATAGCAAAGACTGAAATCCTGACAGTGTCCCTGGACATGTGCAAAAAAATGACTACCTGACAATTTTTGGCACAAGATGTATTCAGAGCAGTAGAGAGAGTCAGTGGAGCTTGTTTTCTGAATGTGGCCTCAGAATCACCACAGATATACCTTGAGAAATAATGGATCACATTCACTCTCTGCATGATATGTTTACTACCGAGGAGAACAAGGAGAACTCACAATGTAAATGCAAAGGGGCTTTGTATTTCTCTGTGGATTTCTTAAAGCACTTTTTCATGGGAGCCTTGGCCTACCAGCTGGAGCCCAAAGGAATTGGAGCACAGGGCATTTGACTCGGGGAATTTGGGATGCTCTCCTCTCATTTATCCCACACCAAATGATCTTGTCTGCATTCTTTCTAACAGCGCACTTCAAGTGCTTGTTTAGCTCATCACCTGCTTCTTTTATCTCGAATGTTTTAAAATGTTATTGGAAAACACACCTTCTCCATTTCTACTTGGATCTTGTTACCTTTGATGTATCTGATCCTAGATAAAAAACTGAACACTTGGCCCTCTTAAATAAGTTTGGGAGTTAGAACAGAATCTCTTTCTTATGGCCTTTATTCAATATGACATATTCCCTCTTTCAGTCACCCAAAAGTAGTTAAAAATCTAGTGTCATTATCCTTGGATATGGTGAGTGCCCAGTGGAGTTAACAGGGGGCACTTGGCAGCAGGGAACAGACACTTTGGCATCCTGCAGGATAATGTCTTAAATTTGTACTGATAAAGAAAGGTATGAATCTGGGATTTGCATGGGTTCTCCAAAGAAACACTCATAAACACCTAATAGTGTCTCTGCACCCAGCTTCAGTTACTGCCAGGTAAAGCCAAGGATAAGGCCATCACACAAATTAACTGAAGCAACTGGAAGCTCGCAGTATTGCAACTAAGAAAATCATAGGAGTGATGGAATAAATGTTATTGGCCAACAGAAATTAAAACTCAGTTAATTACAGAACAAAATCACATGGCTCAGAGAGGCCTACTATTTTATCTATGCACAGTTCATATCTTAAGTGCAAAATTCACACCAGAGTGTACAACTGTTGTGAGATAACTGTATGAGGCAGGTATCTTCCAGGTACATGCACGCATGCATCTGTATCATACCCCATACACCACAGACATGCCACACTTGAGAGACACGATCCAAATCACATATAAGTTTTTACAGAGAGCTAAATAACATTGGGAATTATTTTTCTCATGTGCAGAAATCAGGCGGCCTTCTTCTAAATTCCTTTGCTCATAAAAAGTGTATAATGCCCTGTGATTTTCCCCTCCCTTTAACGTGCATGGCTCACAGCGTTGTCATAAATCACATTACTCCTGCATTTTAAAAAAACTTTGCAAGAAGGGAAAAGTAATCACAATCCTATAATGTTATTATAATTCACAGAAAACTGTGTACTTTTTTTCCCCATACAGGACATACTTCAAATAATTTTAACATGAATAATGATAATGTTCCTTCTTTCCATTAAAAGTAGAATTTCCCCCATTTTGGTATATAAATAAAACAAAACAGTCTTTGAAATATTTACGTCCAGAAGTTTTAACTGTTGTATTAGTTGATATCTTTAATTTTCATTTTCTCTCCAGCCACGGGCATTCTTTCCAAATTTATATACTAATCTTCGGCCATCCACACGCTCCAAGATTTCTCTTTTATAGTAGTATCTATTAAAAGGAAAAAAAGAATGGAAGTAAATTTGATGCCATACCTTAGTGCTCTGGATAGTTTTAAAGGGGCACTGTCAATTATGGGCCAGATTCTATTTCACCTATTGGCTAGGGGCAGAAATTACACATAAACTGGTATAATGGATCAGAAAGTGGTTCAAATCTGTAACACACCAAAAGGTCAATGCACATAAACTACTTTCCAAATGACCAAAGTGGTTCAAAATAAACCTGGATGGATGTTGTATCAAACTTAACTGATTTAGGTTAAATTGGTTTACTGAACTTCTGTCCCAGTTTCCCTCCAGATTCAAGTTAACTCACAGTCCCCCAGCATCCCAGGATGCTTTGCACCTCTCTTCACAGGGTTGGGAGGGCTAGTCTTGGCCCAAGCTGTCTATTCCAGCAGAGAAGGGAGGTGTGCACTAGCACCCCCTGGCTTCTGACCTGGGCCACTGCAGGCATGTGGCTGGATTTCTGGAATCAAAAGTGAATGTGTGTTCACTTGCTTATTGGTTCAAGCTATGCGGCTTAGACTAATCTGTGAAGATTGAATCAATTCAACCTCAGGTTTTTCGACTGTCTGTACTTAGGCATTATGTTCATAAATCACCTCAGGGCAGGTCTACACATGCATTAAGGTGCTTTTTCTAATGCACATTAAATTTAGTACCTCCAGTGTGAGGTACTAAAGAAATGCTCATTAGACTGCCTTAATGCTCAGTAACAAATGTGCATGGTTTTTAAGTGATGCTTACTGCATAGTAGCCTATTTTGCTTCACATTAGCATAATCACATGGATTTTTACATGACACTTTAATGTGAAGTAAAATAGGCTACTGTGTATTAAAGCACACGTATAGATGTGCCCACAGTGAACCAGAAGCACTGTATGTACTTAGAGCACTTGTAGTGCTCTGGGCAGGATAATTTTTTCCTCCTTTCACTGAATTAATTAGCCTAGACACTTAAAGTTCAGGAGATACAGTGCATGGAGCAATGTGGCATGCTTCAGCATGCCTTTGCCTGGCACAGCAAGAGAGCAAGACATGTCCTAAGATATCCTACTGCTATCAACAATGTTTTCTTTACCTTTGCTAAAAGTAACACACAAGATTGTATCTGAAAGAGATTATAGAAGAAGAAAAGATCCTTTTTTCTTTTAGTTTATGTTGTTGATTTTTTGCTTTTGACAGCCCTTGGGTAAAATTAAGCATCTTTCTCCTTGTGCACTGCTGCCAACTTGTGTGATTTTATCATGGGTGTCACAGTGGTGTTTTTTCTAGAAGTGTCAGCTTTTGAAGTGCTGTTCTCAACTTAGAATCTCAGTTTTCATTAAAACTAAAAGAAATTCCCAGTCCACAAGGATATGGAAAAATTGTGATAACCAAACAGGAAATAAAAAAAACACATATATTCTTTTTTTTTTTTAAAGTCTCTCATGATTTCCCTGTAAGTTAGTTTAACAATTTTGGGTGACCCAACTCTTGGTTTTGAACATTTGAAGTAAGCAATAATATTCTTGCCCTGTTAAGGTCCAATTTAAGCTCTCCAGGTTTAGGGAGGCATATGCCTTCAGTGTCTGCACAGGGATATGCTTCATCTTTTGTGTATACTCAGCTCTGCCTACAGTCAGTCAGTCTCACTTATTGTTTGTGTAAGTCTTTCACATATCAATAAAGAAAGAAATGCAATGTAACCCTCTTGCAATGTAGCAAGCAATTACTATTTTTGGTTCATTTTTATAAATTAACAAGATCATAAATTGATTCAATGTCTCTTTAATTAATCAAAGATTGTAAATTATGTTTTCTCAGCTCATACTACCTCATAGCCCGGCTGAGTTTCTCATAAGTCATGCTGCTATTATTTTTCTTCTTTCCCCACAGCTGAGCGACGGCTTCAGATTTTAAGAACCGGAAGACACCTTCAGACCGGTCTTCCCACTTTATTAAACCTGGGTTTTTTTCAGGATTTAGAAGAATATCTCGGATAAATTCCCAAAGGTGAGTCCCTCGAGGATCTAAAACAAGATTGAGGAACAAAGAAAACAATGTCTTGGGTATTTTTGGATGGCCATGTTATTTCATTAAATAGCCATGTATTTACAAAATGTGACAGTTCTATTCATAAATGTACAACCTAACCATTCCTCATAACTGCAATATAAATTGTATATGAGACACACAGGAAAATAATCTTGACATTTCTCAGATTGAATCTATTTTTAAAATGGCTCTACAGTGATTTGAGTAACTCAAAAAAACTGCAGCAAAACACTGCTCCAAATCAGCAATGGATGCGACATAGAGAGCTAAAGTTTCCACAAGTTTTTGTTTCATTCTACAAAGCTCAGCGCTTGCATTATTCCTATCCAAAGGATACCTTGTTTAACCCTCATGCTTGCAGTGCCTTTAACTTCACGTCACTGCTCTGTTGTAATGGCATGAAACCAACTGTTATAAGGAGAACAGAAACAGGGTGGAATAGCAACCACAACTGGACTATTTGTATTTAAAGGTGGGGACGCTTCATAAAATACAAGTAAAAGTAAAGGTAGTGGGACAGTGTTATACTTTAACAATGTGAAAAACTTTAAAAGAAATAAGAAGTTAGCACGCACAGAACATTGTTGGTTTGGTCCAAGTCATTTCAGAAAAGGATCGTAAAAAAGGTTTGACTAGAGTAGTGGAAGAAGTCTTTTATAGACCCCAGGGGTTGAATCTGGCTATACTTAAAGATCTTTATAATATTATTAGACACATACAATAGTATTCTGTTTCACCTTGTGCATCTACGTGATGGTTTTCCAGTAAAATAAGTGGCAGTGGCATTTTTGGCATATATGCACAGTTTCCAATTCTATTAAACAGTGACAGCATTATAGAAGAGTTGGTTCTTGGCAATAACCTTGAATCAAATGAACATAAGTTCATGACTGACTCATGCCCCCGACAGCTGGGAGGGCATGGCAACGGCGGGAGCACGGTGGGAGCGCAGTGGCGGTAAGCAGTGGAGCTCCCACAGACACTGCCGGTGCTTTCAGCAGCGGAGTTGTGGGGGGGGTGAGTGATGACCAAGGGTTGTGGACCACCTGCAGCTGCCTTCAGCAGCAGCGGCCAGCAGAGATCTCGGACTGCCCACAGATGCCACTGGCAGTGTCAGCTATGGGGTGGCAAACAGTGACCGCCCACGGGCACAGCCAACAGTGTCAGTGGTGCCTTTTTGTAGGGGGTGCACCGCCACATTCAGGGGGTGCACGTGCACCCGCATGCACCCCCTACACATCACCCTTGCATGAGTTGATTCCATTTAAATTAAATGGAAGGATAAACAAACATAGGTCTGGAACAAAGGGTTTTGTTTTAAAAAAGTAAACTTTGACAAACTGAGGGAACTAAGTGGAGCCTAAGACCTCAAAATGGAGAAAGCTTTGGATCTCTCTAAATCAAAACATCTGACACTTTTCCCCCAAGCAAGGTGAATAAAATAACTTATAACGAAGAGCCCCAAACTAACCAGATGAATAACCACCTCATCAAGACTACTAGAAGTAAACAGGGAGCCCATAAGGAATGGAAAAAGGGATTGAGCCACTGGAAAGATACAGCTCCGAGAGTATAGGGATGAAATGGGAAATACCAAAAATCATTCTAAGTTGAAAATGCTGAAGTGTTTTAGTTCAACAATTATGAAATGCAACTTTTCAACATTTCCTTTTGTAATGGTATTTTTGCTCAGGTCACATGAAGCATTTCAGATTGACCTCAAATTAAATATCTTTTTTTTTCACTAAAAATACAATTTAAAAAAATTATTTCAACTTAAATCATTTTTTCCTGAATCTTCAATTAAGCTGTTGGATTAAAAAAATCTATTATTCCTTCAGTTTTCTTTTGGGGGCAGAATGATGTTGTGATGGAGTATGAGTTTTATTGTAATAATTCTGTGTTAACTGTCTTCGTGTTCTAATAAAGCTGCATTCCTCAGTTTACCTATAAAGTTAGTGCATGGCGAAAGAAGCATTAATAGGATCCCTGCTAAGTGTCAGAGCTACCTAAATGCATGACAAGACAAGAGAGAACTTCACTATCAACAGGACTTAAATAGTCTCTCCAGAGTGGAGCTGGACATTAGCTCCTTGGGTCACAGCCACGGAAAATTAGGGAATGTCAGGGACTGAAAGGCCAGAGTTTCAAGAGTGGGAAGGAGTGGAAAGGACCCAAGGTCCCCCCCTCCCCCCCACCCCGTTCTAGAAGCCACATCTAGGCTGGCTTCAGGGCCCACTGTCACAGACTGTGACAAGGCTGTAGTGGTCCCAAGCACCCGCCTGATAGGATGGGATTCTTTAGCTCAGAACAGGAGTCACCAACCTATGTCACATGGCCTGGATGTGGACTGTGGAGTCTTTGTATCTAGTCTGTGGAGCCATGGTTTTGGCAGCATTCAGAGGTTGTGGGCTCTGCTCATACTGCACTGCAGCTGGATGCCAGAGGCTTGGTGGAGAAGGAGTTCCCCCTGGGCTATGCCACAGGTGGACAGCATGGGCTTGGGTGGAAGGGTGCTCTCTCTGTGATGCACTACACTGCAGCTAGGCAGCAAGAAGTGGTAGCAATGGTTGGGTCCTACTGCCTGCCTATTTCTGACCTAAGCTGATCATTCTGGGTCCCCACTAAAAATGTTGCAGTCCCTTGGCTTAGAAAATGAAAGCTGTGTGATTGCTGTTTATAAATACATGGAGGGAGAACTATTTAAACTAAAAGTCAATGTTGGCAGAAGAATGAATGAACTGACCATGTATATATTTAAGATGGAAATTAAAAGAAAATTTCTAAACAATGTAGTTGGGTTCTAGAAAAGATTTCCAATAGTACTTGGGGCAAAACACTAGCTAGTATTAAGACGGACCTTGATAAGTTCATCAATGAGGTCACCACATTGTGAGATTGGACTAAGTAACTTTCTGGCCCTATGTCCTATGCTTCCTATAGCTTTTACCATTTAAATTCAAAGGGAGAGGATCCATTCAGGAAGCAAAGCACTTTTAATGATTTCCCCAGTTTGCTGTGCAGGTCTCTTCTACTAAAAGGCAGAATATTCTCTGGCACCATTTGCTAAGATGTGTGAAAATATTTACACAATTTTGAGAACAGCTTTTCTTGAAATCTTCATAATCACTTTGGGAGCATCTACACGAGACACTACCTATGCAGCAGCTGAATAATACTGTGCAGTAGGACGTCACAGCACAAACTGTGCTAATACGCTACTGCACAGTATTATTAGGCTACTGTGCAGTAGGATCACTAAGGCTAGGGACAGACATTCAAAAAGCCTGAGCCTGAATTGATTGGTTAGTCTAACCTGCCTAAATTAAATTAGTTTGCAACTGCACAGACTTTCCCTCTGAACTGAAGAAATGCAAGCACATGCCTGCAGTGGCTCAGGCTAGAAGCCAGGGGGTGCTAAAGCAGCCCTCCCTTGCCTTCCATAGTGCTGAGCAGAGGGGGTGTGGCCAAGCCCTGGCAGGATGCTATGATAAAGGAGAGGTTTAAGCCCTCATCCTGCCTGCACCATCCCAGGCTTCTCCTCCCGCTTGCTGCTCAAGGGGCAGGAGTGTTGACAGACCTCAGCCCCTGGCAAGTACTCTGAGGCAAAGGGATGTGTGTGCAGTGCACGCATCTGTTGATAATACTGAGATTTTCAATCTCCCTCTCTCTGCTTCTTCATACTGTCTGCAAACCTGACAGGCAAGGGAGTCAGCAGAGAAGTGATAACACAGCATTTATCAGCCCATCAACAAAACAAAAGTTCCTCTCCTTAGTTCAAGCTCTTCTTAAACAGTTTTTTCCAAGGAAGGAACAGAGGGACATTACCAGTTGACTTGTTGATTGGCTCCAAAAAGCCTTAAGCAGACACTGTTCTGTCTGCCTGTCCCAGTGAAATTGAACACACACACACACCCCTCTCAGCATTAACTAACATACCACATGCCTAGGGTTTGTGGAGCTGGGGTCCATGCTGTGGGAGATGGGAGGGAGGGAAGGGTGGGAACCCTGCTTGAACAACAAGCAGCAAGGTTGGGTGGGAGAAAGGGGGAAGCCAGGCAGACCCCTCTGCCAGAGCTTGAGCTAGGGAGCAGGGGCATGGGGCCATCTCTGTTCTCTGAAGCAGAGAACACAGTCCAGCCCATGGCTGCAAAGCATCTGGGATGCTGTGAGACTGGTTTAACTTGAACCGGGAAGTGGTCTGGGACAGACATTGCATAAACGGGTTTGACCCAAACCAGTTAAGTCCCTTACTACATTCAACCATCTTAAACCAGTTTCAGCCATTTTGAAACTGGTTTATGTGCATTGAACTTATTTTCTGTTGCAAGTTGAAACCAGTTTCTGACCACTTAAACTGGTTTGTGTGTAATGTCTGTCCCTAGCCTAAAATGGTGTTCGCCAGTGCTACTGTGCAGTAACTGCAGTTACTGCATGTTTATTTAGTTCTTGATTTTACAAATATTAAATTAAATGCACCGTAACTACTGCACATTAATGAACATGTAGACATACCCTTTATGTTTTAAACTATTCTCTAATGGAGGGACAAACCCTCAGCATTATGAGAATGAAATTTATCAGCTGTAACTAGTAACTGAACTCCTACTTGCCAACTAATCTTTTCAATCTTTCCAACCCATGAGTCACAGTATAAAACAGGACACTATCAACTAATATTTGCTCCTGTCATGCTGAAATAGTTTCACTGATTAGAACTTTATTTAGTACCTCTTCACTCTATCTTGGACTGAGCCAAGCCAGATACATAAGCAGAGCTAGAAAGAAATACTTTATGAGCTCCTCAGCAGGTGTATATTAAGCTCCACTTGACCCATTCATTCTGAAACTGGATTTTTTTTCCCTTCTGGCTTCCTTTTTCTTTCAAAACTTGAACCTAAGCTTGAACTGTCTCCATCATCTTTTAATCAAACCAATACATTTACCATACAACGCTAACTTACTGTGCTTCTTTGCATGGGACTTTGGAGGATGATCTTGTGTTTTTTTTCCATCAGAGGACTCTGCAAAAAATGAAATGAAGTTGTTCTTGTAAATTTGGTTAAGCAATTTCCATTGACTAGCATGTTAAGAAAAAGAAAACCACAAAAATAAGTCCCTGTTTTGAAGACAATAACTTTTCAAAAGTTAAACTAATGCAGGAAACAAGGGGATGCTTTTGTTTTGTGAGTTACATTTTAATCAGCCAGTTGTACAAAGAGACCATTGATAAATAAAGAATAAATACTGAGATATACAGCTGGCTGTGTAAACATAAATTAGATTAACAAATCCCTCAACTAGTGTCCCTTGTACCTAATGTATGTGTCAGAATGAAAAGAAAGAGGATCAGGTCTATAAAAGGAATTCATAAATTGTCCCATTATATCCCAGGCTTCGCTGTAGCATGTAATTTAGGGGACTCTTTTATTGGTATAGGGATGATCTAATGTGAAATGTATGTACTAGTGTTAATGTACAGTATATCTGCTTGCCTAAAAACATAATGATCTTGCAGGGCATTGTTGCTAAGAAAATTTAAAAACAAAAAGTATTCTTAATACTCAGGCCAAGTGAGTTTTTGGCAGCTAGACATATATATTGTTCCTATGACTCTTACTGGTGGAATATTATCACCTGTAACCAGCTTAGATAGAATAGGATTTCTAGCTCAAGCTGTTCCTCAGAAACTAAGAAGTTACAATTGTTTATCACTTATCACCTATATAGGAATCGATGTATTTAACATTCCCATTCTCAGAGAAAGTAAAATTGAAATCTATTACTGAAATCTATCAGAATTGGTTTATCTTAATTAATTTAAGAACTGTCAAAACATACCATATTACCAATTATAAGTCCTGTCCCTATTTGTTTTAGGATGTTTAGTGCCCAAATTGTATTAGTAAAGCTTAGGAAGCACACCTTTATTTTCCAGCTATTATGCATTCATAATTACCATCATTTTGCATGGAAATTGAGCATTTGTATGTACAAACAACTTACAGTATATATATATTTGCATTAAAATGTGCCTTGTTTGCGCACACAACTGTAATAATTGCATGTGAAAAAATAGGTGCAAAACATTTCACAAGCTTACTGTGCTCAATGGCCACCTGGATGCACAAACTCGGAAGTGGAGACTGTACAAGTCAGAGAAGATAGTCCTTACTTGTTCTTTTAGTCTGACATAACATGGTTGTGACACAGAGCCGCAATAAACTCTGAGCACATCTTTACATGTCTATTTTGCCTTTCAAAGAGCAAGACATTTACTAAGCTAGAAATTAACCCACAAAGAAATTATGCAATGATTTTGCTGTCTGTGTCCAAACTCCCACAGAAGCTCTCACAGAAGTTATTAAATGGTTATCATAGAATCACAGGGTTGAAAGGGGCCTCCAGGTATTCAGGAATCACCATTCCTAGATCAGACAGAATGCCTATTTATCTTTTTTCTTGAAAATTTCTGATGAAGACAATTCTACAGTTGCCCTAGGTATATTGTCCTACTGTTCTTATAATTAGAAATCAAGAGTCAGTAGGAATTTTGTTTTGTGTAACGATCTGCTCTTCAATTTGTTAGGTAGTTTGACCTGAAACACCATTTTGAAAGCCTCATATAGCTTGGAAATTGCTTTACTATTTTCCATTTAACTGGAGATTTATTCTTTGAAATGGAGTTGCCTTCCACCTAGTCAATGATTTATTCCTCATTTCACCTGTGTAAACAGCATCCCATTCTGCCTCAACTCTTACATGGAGACTTGTTCCAAGCATGCAACATTAGAAGGCTGAGGCTTGACAGATGAAAAGAATTATGAAGCAGTTTCAACAAAGCTGCCTTGCAACACCTGTGACAAAAGATTTCAGATTATTTGCATATGATTCACGAATGAGCCACTTCTTTACGGGATATACAAATTTAGTTTTTGCAACAGGCAGTGCCCTTGGCGTGCCACCCTAGCTCTAGGCTCAACAAGTCAACAGATAAGCACACCAAGCCAAGAAATTTGACAGGCTCTCAGTACTGTCAGGGAGATCTGAGGAGCTGGCAGACATTTTATGAGAATGGGTGGTGTCAAGATAAAAAGCAAAGTTTTTTCCCCCTCCTTTCCATTTATTGCTGAGTGCATTTGTTTAAAGCATTATGTCACCTTGGCAAGCCTTGCTGTGCATATAAGCCCGGGCTGCACCAAATATGCACACTCTCATACACATACAGTTACTGTATCTTGAATGGTGTCAGGTGGATTAAGGATCGGGACCACTGGACAAAGCATAAAGCTTTGTGGGGAGATGCAGGAACACCTAGGGGGAGGACTCAAATCATAATATTTCTTCCTTATCTTTCTCTCTTTTCCCTCCTAAATACAGTTCTGTCAAGAAGCCTTCCTTCCTGTCAACCTCATTTTCTTCTCCTCTTTCTTGTTCCTTCCTTCTCTTCTGGCTCTTTCCCATCTGTCACTAATTCTTCTACAACCTCCTGACTAATCCATCATGTCTTCCTCTTCACGTTCTTCACTGCCTTCCCACAGCAGCCACTAAACCACCATTTCCAAAGCATCCCAGCCACACACAGATGCATCCACACACCATGCCACTATCTTGCCTTCTATAAAAAGGCGAAGTATATCCCTATTACTCTGGAGGTACACAGTATCCATAGAAGAGATGGAATGGCACACTAGAGATATAAATGACACACTGTAGATACGCAGACAAGGTCCTTAGACCAACACGGCTACAACCTACACCCCTGCACACTGTAGATACTACACTGTAGATAAGCTTCTGACTTGCCCCAGCATGCCTTGAAACACCCCCTGCTATCACACAATTCACGAGGTAGCTTCATGCTTGCTCTCTGGCTCCTCTGTGTTGGATTATCAAGCAAAAATGAACCATAAGTGAATGCTGAATCCGCTTTATGTGTTTCATGCAAACCACTTTACTAACCGCTGGAGTGTAGACACTACCAAAAAGGAACACAGCAGTCATATCTTTGCACCACACAACAGTTTGCGACAGGAGATGAACATCTTGTCTCTCTAACACTAACTTCCATTTTGAGACAGTCCCCTTTGCAAGATATGTGAAGTGACCCCTGAAGTTGCAGATTATTTCTTCTTCTTCTTGACAGAGATCAAAGAAAAGATTTCTGTAAAACACTCTCTGGTAGAAAGAGCAACTCAAAGAGCCCTCAACATTGGTATTGTTTGGTTCAAAATTATTCAAAAGTCCTTCAACAGATGACCACAAAGGCTTTTATTGATCGGTAACTCAAGGATTTGTGCAAGAGAATCAAGAGCAAGAGAATTAAGAATGCCTTACCAATAGACTGTTGACTAAGACTGGTTGCAGAAATCTGGGCACGACAATAAGTTTTATTATCCAATAAATCTGGGGATTAAAAAGAAGAAATTTAGAGTGACATCCTCTTGCACCAATAAAAACACCTCAGAAATGCTTGAAGAGTTGCATCAATTACCTACGGTACTACCATAGCCACTGTCATACAGATAATTCTCTTCTTTCCAGAATGCCATTAATGATGGATCTGAAGATAAGAGACCAAAAGGGAAACTGTATCATTAAAAGAAAGATTTTGAGAGATGAGGTGAATAACAATGAGACACTGAAAGACTAAATGAATGAGGTTTATGTGACAAATGAGTCTAGGAAGAGAACACTGAAGAGGTTACAAAGCAGACTCTTATTTTCAACTATGTGATAAGGGGGAGGTTTACCTAGTGGCAAACAGGTTAAGTTATTTTGTTTGGGCTTTCTTTTCTTATAGCCTCTTAGCTAGTAATTCAGTTGTGTTTCCTAAACTAGCTCATCCTCCTGCCTAATCTAGCCCAGCCACATTTGACACAATGCTTTTTTTTATTATTTAATGATTGTATTTTTCCATATTTGGGATTCTAGTAAAATCAGACAGTATGGGGGTTGTTATTATTCTCTGTGCCCAGAAGCCCCCACTGGATTTAACGATATATAAAGAGACACAAAGAGATTTTTTTTTTTATGTAAGACCCAAACATTTGATTTCTTTTTAATGTAAGATCCATTTTATATCATTACATTCTATTGTGGAGTCTTTGCATGAGCACAGACTGAGGGCCTGTTGCTAAATGACATCTTTATGGGCACAGAACGCAAAACACAAAACTAGAGAAGAATTTTAAAGTTACCCTTAGAGGCACATTACTCATTAAGCACTATTTAATTGAGTGTTATAGTGATATAGTCAAAACCTGTACATATTTGATTTTTTTTTTTTAGCACCTGGTGGAATTAGTCTTTTTATATTCCAGATTTTGAAGTCAGACATGTTAAGTGTAATTTTCGTTCTAGCTCTAAATCAAAGGCGATAAAGCATAACATTCAAGTTTGGGTTTTATTCATAAATGTATAAATGCAATTAAAAGTTAAAAATGAACTATTGGCTAAGTCATCAGGTTTGGCTAGGAATTTAGCAGGTATGCAACTAATAGGTACATGTTTAGGCATCCTAAACCCATGTTCTTGTATTAGTACACACCCTCTTCTTGTTTAGACACCTGATCTACCTAATGTTGTCTCTGAAAACAAATCTTATCAAGCTGGAGCATAGGAAAAGGGAATTATTTTTCCTCTCATTTCTACCTTTTCTAGAACCCACATCCCAGCAATCTTCCCTGATTTAGTGGGACCAGCCAAGCTTCCTTCAGTATCATTTCTGTTTTGTCACAAGGAGCAAGCTATCAGGCTTACTCTTCCTGAAAGGCACAGCCTATTTCTTCTGCAGCACACCTGCACCCTGCCAGATCCCAGACAAAAACTGAAGCTGGTGTTTGAATCATATCCACTAATGTTTAAGGCACCCCACAACTCTAGCTCCTTTCTCTCCAACTCTAGGTCCTCCTTCAACTCTGTCCTTAACTATATTCCATTCTGCAATGCAAGGGTAATAGGCTAAGTGGTTTAATAAGGCTGTCAATGTCTGTAATGCCTCATACTATGTGTAGGTGTTAATTTTGTCAAAAAATTGTGTGTGTTTGCTGGTGGGTCATTAAGACACCCACATGTATGGGAGTTGGGAGTGGCTGTGTATTGTGATGTCAGGTATCAGCCAAGATATGTTTGAAAAGGAACCTTGAAAATGTCCAAGCAGACAACATGGGCTGGATTGTATTGTTAATGAAACCAAGCCCCAGGAATTAATCAAGTTAGTTGTGTGTATTTTTGACAGCCATCCTGATATTTCACAAACCTGGTTTATTTTTACTGAACTTGGGGGGGGGGGGGGGGGGGGGGGCAGGGCTTGGGAAAACATCTTAATGAAATGTTTTAAGATTTCTATTCAAAAGACTTTTTGCTTTGACATTTCTGAGTTTCTTTGAAATAATTTTAAGAGCTTTCAAAATGGAAACAAACATTTTGTTTCATTTAAAACAAATTTATTTTAAACAATTATTTTTAAAAATTATTTTAAACAAATTTCTCTTAAATTTTCATCCACGCTTGGGAAAACATCTTAATGAAATGTTTTAAGATTTCTATTCAAAAGACTTTTTGCTTTGACATTTCTGAGTTTCTTTGAAATAATTTTAAGAGCTTTCAAAATGGAAACAAACATTTTGTTTCATTTAAAACAAATTTATTTTAAACAATTATTTTTAAAAATTATTTTAAACAAATTTCTCTTAAATTTTCATCCACTAAACAGTGAAAATTAAAAAGATATTTGTTTTAAAAAATGTCTAGTTTGGGTTGACCCCAAAATGCCTTTTATTTCCCCCCAGAACCTGCAGTAAGGCAAAATACAGTCATTGGCACAACCCTCGTGGGTAGCCACTGTAGAATCTGGAGAAGGGTGGAGAAGACATTGTATAGGTCCCCAAACTCAAGTGACCCTTTGCAGACCAGTGCCATGCAATACCAGTGCCTCCACAATACAATGGAAAGGATTTACCAGCACTCTAGAAAATTCAGGTTGAGTTCAGTCTACATTGTTTAACATACTCTTTTATGAAAGGCAGATATTTTTTGTGCTTAAGTGAAGCAGATGCCACCCAAGGTAAAATTTTGCTCCCCAGCACATCACTATTGTTATTACTGACCTGTTTGTTCTGTTTTAACAATGACATTATGTGATTGGTACATATCACTTCCACACTGACCTGAAAGAAACCAAATGTTGGAAGAGAGTTATAACAAGACATGACAAGAAATGAAGATAAATCTCTCTGCAGGAACTAATATAGTTGAGACAGAAGGCTAATTTGGAGAAGATATGATGTGACACACACAGTCTCCCCCACACTGCAATCTCCTGTCTAATATTCAAGGAGGGATTTGCTGGACATGAGAAAGATCAGATGAAAGCATGGATGGAAGAGTCTGTCATTTACCTTTCTTTGTCTCTTTTTATGCAATAAAGTGAGTTAACTTCTTGCCTACATGGGCCTCAGAAAAAATATTCCCTTTGCAGACTTGGGATATAGAAAGATATAAATAAAAGTACATCATACAGGGAACAACATATGGATAATCTGAAACTAAGTGGGTGTGATATGACAAACCATTTCACATTTTTGCAGTGTTTTATGTAATTCAGATATAGTTGAGCATATCTGTAGCTGTTTTAAATTACTTTTAGTGAGCATTATCAAAAGATTTATTTTTAACCTTAACTCCTATATCTAATAACCTGTTACTGACTTGGTACATATTGTTGTGATAAATTTCCAAATAGTAAGACTTTCAGTTAGTGGTAGAGGTGCACTAGCAGGACACTGAGCAGCAAACATGTTTCAATGAATTCCTCATTGTTGGGCAAACTCAAATCATGTGAGCATTAATGGGATACAGAGCTCCTTTCCTCAGTATAAGAAGGTGGGCTACTCTGCTAACAAAGAACAGCTTTGGGGTGTTGTTACAATGTCCCCTCCTCTTTCAGGGTCTTTTCCCAAAATGGCTAATGTCTTAGAGATCCCAGGAAAACTTTGTAAAGCTGCAGATTTGGATAGCGAGGGGTTTCAGTCTTGTGTATCTTAGGAGCTCTACATCAGGGAAGCTCCATTCCCAGGGAGCTGTTGTATCCCCCAGAGCTTCAGTGAGTGCAAACCTGAGGAACATAAATGACCTTTGATCAATCCAAAACTAAAAGAATTGTGTTTGCATTTGCAGTCTTGTCTGTCCATATACTAATGCATATTTACCATTCCATTTTAGATGCTGGAGGTTGGAGTAAAGAAGCTGTCCTGCTGTCCCAGCTGCCTGGATGAATTCTTGCAAGCTCATGCTACACAGATGTTCACCATTGATGTCAAATTCCTGGAAAGGTATGCAGTTGGCATCCAGCTGGTTGGTATCAAGGAGATGTTGTAGCCATTCCCAAACCTGGAACTTAGTCCAGTACTGAGGATGAATTTCATGCCACTGAGTTCCATAGAAACTGCTAGACACTGAGAAAGAAACATTATTTATTTACTGTCTCTTTTAGAACAACAGTAGTAAAGTCCATGTACTGTGTGCAGAAAGGGTTAGTATTTAAACCAAATGAACTAAACGCTAGCAGATCTGGGTCCTCTTCCAAGCATCCCACACTGGCCTGATTATCTGTGGGCATGTCACCTCACAACTCTATCTCATCTTCCCTATCTGCAAAAGGGGGAGGGGGCAGAGGTAAGAAAACTAACCCATGTACTAGGGTGTGGTGAGTATTAAACTCAGTAATGTTTGTAAAGTGGTTTGAAATTCTTGGATGGAAGCTCAGCTGGAGGGAAAAGTATTAAAGCAAAGATGCATTGATGTCCATGTAGGAAAAGGCACTCTCAAAATATGTATATCAATGACAGGCCAGTTCTTGCAGAACTCTCTTTGCATTCAATGGGAGTATAGCTTGAATAGGGACAGAATGAATAAAGTAGGGATTGCAGGGTTTGAATACAGAAAAATAAATGTACTCAGTGACCATATCTACACGAGACACTGACTGCACAGTAGCTAGTTACTACTGTGCAGTAGCATCGTGTGGCACAAAGCATGACGCAACACTACTGCTCTGTAGTAAGGAGCTACTGCGCAGTCAGTGTCACCCAAAAGCCTTATGGCAATGGTACTGCGCAGTCATTCAGTACTCATGTATGCAAGTACTAAATGACTGCACAGTAATAACTGCGCAGGCAGCATCTTGTGTAGACACAGCCAGTATAACTTGTGCGGTAAAGTCAATCATACACACACACACACACACACACACACACACACACACACACATATCCATCAGTTATAAAGCAGAGCTGATCCTCTTATACAGGGATGGCCAACTTGTAGCATATATTCCACAAGTGGCACAAGCAGCTTCTGCAGTGTAGTCATGGAAGGGACAGGCAGCACAGTGGCAGATAAGGCAGGAAGCAAAAAACAAAGCAGTAGATCATGCAGGGAGCACAGGATAGGAAGCGGATGGGCAGGAGAAGTGGATCAGAATGGCACTCAAGGAGGGTGTAGGGCTAATTGGTAGCATGCCTGCCAAAAATGTTGGCTACCACCGTTCTTGTAAATGCAGAAACATAGAGCTGGGGGAATGAAGCAACTTGTGGGCTATGACATTATGCAATAGAGGGACTGGTATGGAAGGCAATTTGAGGAAAGGCAACTCATGGCCTGATTTCTACATCTGGTGACTATGGAAGATGTAATTGATAAGGCTTGCTCTGAGGTATATATGTGCAGTAGTATTCAAAATGCTACCAGTGCCATCAAAGTGTTGACAATAGTGATTGCAATATAAATGTGGAGTGAAAGTTATTAATATCCTATTTTATTCACATACTACAGTCACCTTTTTCCTGAAAATTAGTAATTGATAACAGGGGTGCAGTTCTTAAATGAAGAAAGTGATTCTGAACAGTTTGTTTAAAAGGAAAAAATCTTTTTTTCTTCATCCTGCCTTCCCAAAACAAGGTGCATGTCTTATTTGGTGAGTAAGGGGCTGCTTAATGAGTAAATGTATCAAAACCTGGTCTTTAGAAGGGGCATGTTCTCTACCCTAAATTGCTTGTAACCTAAAGAAGCCAAGAGGTGGGAGGATGCATGGGCCAATTCATGCTAAAAAAACTAAATTAGTTTTACTTGAACAGGTGGATTTAAATAAAAGGTTAGAAGGCATAGAGTGAGGATATTTAGAGAGATGGCATAGTGGCATGTTTCTCAAAGAGTAAGTAGCAGGATAAATGCACAAAGTAAAACTTAGGGAAAGGAGACAAGCAGAGCAGTAAGGACTCGAAAGGACATGGAGATCAAGAGAAAGAAAAAACAGATTTGTAGACAGGAGTACAAGAATGTGAAGAGCCTTGGAGATTAAGGCAAAAATCTGAATATGAAGCAATAAAGGACAGAAAACTAAAACTAAACTGAAACTAAAAGAGACATTCAAGAGAAGGATCACATTGTTTGCAAACTAAAGGAGGGAGATGATATTAGCTGCAATATTTTGTATACTGGGATCAAGGAAAGATGAGAAACAATGAAGTAATTATATCAATCAAGGTTAGCAATGTTGACAAAAGCATAAAGAAGGCTTGAGAAGGGGGGCATAAAGAAAAGACAGATTGTTGTATCTCAGCTACATGACACAAACTCAATAGGTGAAATTCATGGGTAAAATCCTATAGCTTGCATTATGCAGAAGGCCAGACCAGGAATATGTCTTTCCAGAGCAAGACAACTCCATGTAGAGACAGGCCACTGCCAACCTGAGAAACACTGTCCCTGCCTTGTGTACATGAGTTAAGTACATGTGCTGTGCCACACTAATACAGTGATGCTGCTTCCTAATAAAAAGCTAGAGCTTTGCAGGACGGGCGTGGTGCATCTCAGCAAGCATTTCATGGTACCGGTAGACATACAATGTAGGCGTACCATGGTGCCAGAGCACTTCCTCGTTGCCATACAATAACACATTCTAGAAGTGCATTGTTTGCTTCTACCTTGGCCCCCCTTTGAGAAACCAGCAGTCAGTGCACAGCTTAATTAAATTTGACTATTATCTGGGTAGTTAGCACAAAGAATATGGTAGAAGCTCTGCAGACAGAGAGCAGGACAAGATCCTTGCCTCCCAAAAGTGTAATATCTAAAACATAAGTAACACAAACTTGTTTTTTCTTACCAAGCAGTATACTGTCCAGTTAGATATTCTTCCCTAAGGGAAAATGTAGTTTTACCAATTCCAGATTGAGAGAGAGAGAGAGATTTATATTTATATATTTATAAACACTTAATTCTGTTTGAATTTGGGTGAAAATACTCTTCCTTCCATGTTAGAATTTCCCAACAAACTCAGAAGTTTCTGGTAATTTGGGAGACTGTAACCCAATTTTTAAAATCTACAAAATACTGGCTTGAATATTTTAAAGCCATTTCTAGGAACTGAAATATTGCTGAAAACTCCATTAAACCAGTGGTATATTCACAGAGGAGGAGACAAAAGCCACTGAGTGGCAACAATAGAAGGAGATACTCAGGAAAAGCTTGGTGTAGGCAAGAGCAGTGATCTGTAACAATGGCATTTTAATCATACAAAGGTTGTTTTAGTTACAGCTATTTCATGTGCCAGAAAGTGTAATAAAGGGCTTCACTGCTACTACCTTAGTAAAGTTTCCACCCTGACTATAGATGACATACCAGTAGGTGACCCTGCATATAAGCCATTTCAGTCCCCGCCCCCCCTTTACCCATTAACGCTGAGAACAAGAGCTGGTCAAAAAACAGGAGGGGGGTATAAATTGTGTGATGATATTTCCTCAAAATATGAACATCGGTATTTTAACATTTAAGGTTTGTTTCCCCTTTAAATTCCAAACTGTATAGCCCTTGTACACTGGGAGTGGAGAGGGAAAATGGTCAAAGTATAGCTCTGCTATACCAGCTCTTCAGTACACCTCTCCTATCCAAGGAACTGATCTGTTATTGTATATGCCCAAAACAAGAATATCCAAAGCAGCTGTAAAAAATGTTGCTAATAAAATCCTTGAGTCGCCCTCACTACCAGCACAGGGGAATTAAGGTTGTGTTGGGAACTACCTGCAGTAATGGAAGGAACTGTTTCCTGGCCTTGCTGGTGCTGGACTGTGGGAGGAAGTGTTGGAAGCAATAAAGTGCAGGGGTGGGGGTCCTAGAGTATAATGATAGGAATGAGGGGGATAACCTGAATAAATTGTTTGCATGTGTTCCTCCACAGTCCCAGAGATTAAGAGTGCTTTTCACAAGTCACCATAATACAAACCAGGAGACTTCAGATATGAATAAGAAAGCAACTGTGTTAGCGGTACGGAGGCATGTGGTTGGCTTGGAGTTTTGGGTTCCTGTGAACCTGAACTGCTGTTTGGAATTGAAGGGTTGTTTCAAGGGCCCCAATTCCCACAAATAAAGCCCACCAATTTAGGTTGGCAAAACCACGTAAACTAAAAATAGTGATTTTTAGTCAAATATTACCAGTATTTTCTTCCTGAGTATTTAAAGGCAACAAAGGGGGTTCCTTAAGTGCAATTGTACATATTTTTGTGTATTTAGGAATTAGACACACAAAAAGAATTGAGCTCCTTCAAATGCTGCATAAAAACTTTCACAGTACAGTATGTTTGGTTGTAACACCCTACAGGACTGTGATTGGTGTGTGGCTACCTCGTGTGGTTACCTGACTAGGTTTCAGCGATTACGGCTGCTGCCATGACACTGTTTTGAGTGACAAAAATTATGTTAAAAGTTTAATCTAATGCATTATATACCTGCACAGTTCTACCACAGTTCAGTTGTCATAAAATATCTGTACAACAAACTTTCACTTTAAGTCACTGCCTGGAATCTAACCCAAGAAGGTAGCAAGTAAAAGTCATTGCTATCTGATGGCAGTTGGATGACCTACATGAACTGGGACTGGACATCTAGGTCCACTTTGTAAGGGGCAAGTTTTCCACATCCCTAAACTTATCATTACTAATTACCCTTAATGTCAATATATCTGTCTACTGCTCCAAGTTAAAAGATAAGTTTGGTGAAACTGATCTCCCCAATAAAATATTACATGGGAGGTAAATTGTGTGAGTATGTCTTTGGTTTGATTCCTTCTAGCCAGAGATATTTGCTGACCATTGGGGCAGCATATGTGTATGTGAAGTCTGAACTGATTCTGCCCCCGTTGCATTTTTTTCTCTGAAGTGGAAACCTCAGAGCTGTCAATCTTGCCTTTTTTATCGGTAACAAGGTCACTCCAAGAAAAGGTACAAGTAACAAAATAAACCATAAATAATGGCCATTCCCAGGCATTTAATCCTGTCAATGAAAATTTTTATTAATACATTAACAAATGGGAATGTTCCTTGCAGTAGTGGGATTCCAGTGCAGGAGAAAAGATGTTAAAGTGGAGAGGTTAGAAAGTGTACTCTCTAACTCCAGCAGAGGAGAAAAGATGTTAAAGTGGAGCAGTTAGAAAGTACACTTATGCACATTTAAAAGTACAACCACCTCTCCTTTACCCCCTCCTTCAATATAGCTAGCAGATCATCGCTGAATTCCTCCTACCATTACATGTTGGGTATCCCTCTGTCCAGGACGGCTGCTGGTGGAGTAGATTGCTGCTGGAACTGATACTCATTCTGCCAGTTCCTTCCAAAATCATGATCTGCAAAGAAATCAAACAACTTGCTCAGCACTGATGGTATTCCACCAGGCAAGTGGCAAAAAAAAACCCCAAAACCATTGAAGGTGAAGTGAGCAATGCCAATTCCATTCGTAAAAGACACAAGGAACATGTTGCCACAACCCCTTAAGCTGCAATGAAATCTCCTCGCAATAAACATAACCATGCTCAATTTGCATATCTATGAAGCAAGTTTTTACAGCTTCCCATCCATTAATGAATAATCTCTGATCAAGGATGAAACTGAATAGAAACGCAAGGCTCATGATAGAACAGTACTGGAAAATGGCCAAGCTTTGCAAAGTGAAATACAGTGAGATTTTCTTTTAACATAATATTTAAGAAGGTTAAATGGCCATAGATTAAAAAAGAATTTCTTTCTAAACAATAAATGCAACCACAGCCTTGAGAGAGAGACATGCTCAAAATTTCTATCACATTCACAGAGACCCACAAGATAATGGTATATGAAACCTTGTTTTACCTTGTCTAATACATGTTGATAGTGACAGGAAAAGGTTGTCATTATATGATGTCATAAATCATAACATTCTGGCCAGCAAACTCAAAAGACCATGTTATAAGAGCTTAATAATGAGCAGGATATTATTCTAATAGAAAAAGTGGGAGAGAAAGATACCACTATTCATACACAGAGAGTTACCTCAGAATACCACCCCCTATTCTTAGAAGACACACAAACTTTATTTTTGAGTCTAGCCTGCATCAGCTGCATGGAAAAGTCTCTTTCATGTTGCCTATTAGGGACTTGTATACTGTTCCCTTTGTAATAACATACAAAAACATAACACTCAGTTAAACACCTGGGTGAATAAACAGCATATTCCTCACTGATGTGTTTTCTAATTTTTATTAATGTAAGACCCAGAGACGAAAAGTATAAGTTTATTTTATTAATGGGTGTGTACAATCTTTTATTAGTTTGGAGGAGCATTAAGGTAACTCGCTAAGTTACCTTACAAGTTATTGTAACTTACAGTTTCAGATGGCTTTGCAAGATGTGTGTGGTTTGTACAAAGCTGCATCGTTTTTCACACCAGATGTTCATGATAGCAAAAGTTTGTCCAAGAAAAACTGCAACTAACTGGACCAATTTTTCTATTGAAGTCCCTGTGAACATTTGATCTAATCCCGATACACCTTCATTTAAATTCAACTCTCATTCCTCCCTGCTCTTAGTTTGTCAGGAAGATTGCCATGCTGAAAGGTTCAGGTAACCCTTTGCTCAGCATTTGAATTTTTTGATGGTTAGTTACATTAAATTACCAAACCTTGGGTGCATCTACAGGAGATGCTGAATGTGCAGTAAACTAATTCTACTGCATTTTAGTGCAGCAGGCAAAAAACGTGCTAAAGAGCTAATGCACTGTAGAATTAGTCTACAGTCCATTATCGTCACAAAAAAGCATATGCCGGCATTACTGCACAGTAGTGCCAATTACAGCACATTAAGTTTAGTACCTGTGGGTGTGTCAATATGTTCATTAATGCGCTGTTGCTACTGCTCATTAAGTTTAGTATTTGTATAACCTTATAATTTGTATTCATATACTGTATGAATGTACAGTAACTGGCACTACTGAGCCAGTCAGTAGTGCCAGTGCATGGCTTTTTAGTGATGCTACCTGGGCAGTAGCCTAATACTACTGGACATTCACGTCTTAGCATGGTTTGTGCCCTGCACACTAATGCACAGTAGAATTAGGCTACTCTGCACTTAGCACCACATGTAGACATGCCCTGCGAACCATTAAGTTATTACAGGTACTAAACTTAATGTGCCATCATTACAGTGCATCAATGAACGTGTAAATGAGCCCCTTCTGTGGTTCATCCACTTCTAAGCTTTACTAAACTAATACATCACCGACTAAAGTAGATTCATCCTAAATCTCTGAAGCCAAATTCATATTTCAGTTATGTTCCTTTAACATCATCTCAAAATATCTGCTCCTTTTTACACAAACTAGGAAACTGCTACTGTCCAGAAGGAGATCACAGTATTCCAAATACAGAATAAACAGCAATTTTCAAATTTTTATGCATTAATGTTGCCTTTCAAATTAACAAAAACAGTGCATATAGTTGATTTAAGTGTTATACAGGGTAACCTCGTCTCTCTAACATTACCTGCATGAGAATACGTTACGTGAGAAAAAGAGCTTGAGACAGGCCAGGGATCTTAATTATGGGTCTGGATTCAGTCCAAACCCATCAATGGGTTTGGTTTAAACATCAGTGCAGCTCTGGGTGTTTGGCTTCAAGTGTGTGATTTCAGACCATCTCTAATTTATTGCTTGTATCCTGCCCTTTCTTCCTTAATCATTGCTTAGCCAAGCTAAATGTACTAAGACATTTAAAACTTTCTCTTTTCATATACTCATCATATTTATTGTTCTTCTCTGACTGTAGAATACTCAGTCTTTCATATAGATGAAGCACTAAAAACTGGATTCAACCAATTAAGTCTAATCTAGTCACCTAAATGTCCATAGATTTGTGAGTAATTCTCAACCTTTTAAGACTCAAGGCACCCTTTGAGAGACTTGAGGTACTCCTCTAAAATACCAGGTTTTAGTTTTCACTCATTTTTTGACAACAGCAAAAATAATAGAGCAAGTCTTCTGTCACAAAGTACTCAGAAAGACTGCATCAGGTCAGACTGTTTTTAACACTATGGATTCCTATTTAAAATCTCTGGATTTATCTCCCTGGTTGAGAATCACTGATTTAGATGCCTGAACATCTTGGTGGTTCAGGCCCTTAAGGCTTTACAAACTTGGGTCCCAAACACAATAAAATTGACCAAATTTTTACTCACTGACCTGAATGATTCTAGCTAGACTTCACAGCAGAGTCCTGGCAAATTCAAGATATTTGCTAGTTTAGGCCAGACCCTGAAATCTCACTTGTTGGTGGACAAAAAAATGTCAAATGATTAGAGACCTCAAGAGGAAAGAGGATATATTTTAGTCATAGTATATATTTTGCTATATATAAAAAAAATATATGGTCCTAGGAATGGGTACATTAATGAGAGTTTAGGGTGAGTAAAATCAAAGTAAAGACTTCAGAAATTACCCCTTTCATGAATAATCTGTATTTGTTTAACATGCAATTTCATATGTATCTGTGTGTATATGTGTGTGTATGAAATAGCATACGTGTATGTAGGCACATAGCTGTACACATATATTCCCCAGCGCTGAAGTACATCCACCTCCAGAGGATAATGCCTCAATAGCACACAAAAATGCCACACGAGTTTGGGACAGCAAGAAAGGAACATTTTTTCAATTGACAAATCTAAAGAGTTATAAAACCATATGCACAACCTTTCCCCCGCCAAAAAAGTGAGATATAATATGCAGCTTTGCAATGGGGGAGGCCCTCTATTTTAATCTTTCACCCACAGTAGGGGAGACTGGGTGGAGTCTAAAGTCCAAATCCTGAAGGACTGTCACAGTCAAATCTCTTGTTGCCTTCAGTCAGAGTTTCACTGACTCATGACTTCAGGATTGTCAGTAAAGGAATTAGTGTGCAGGGTACTTCTGTTTTTTCTTGACCACATAGCCAGTCAAGGCAGATATCTGACATTCTGTAGTAAACAGGCATTGTCTGATCATGGAGAAGTGCCAGCATTTTTGCAAAACATATTCATAACGAATCATTGAGCTTTGAACCTTGTATGGCGTGCAATATGCAAATTACCTTCTTACAATACAGCTGTGTCCTGAATGCAGATCACTCTGATCCCCATTTTCACATGCCAACACAATGAGCCTACAGATCTACACAGAAAACCCTCCTCTTGATTTTGGACCTGCTTGAGCATGGTTGTTGTGATAATTCTACAAAAAAAGTGTGAAGTGCAAAAGAGACACTTTCACACTTGGCTAATATAAACTGTCAGAAGTCTGCCCAAAACTAGTGAGTTAGCATGGTTAAAACATGGTAATTCCTACAGTCAACACGAGGGAGTTACAGGGCGACCATCATGTCCACCTGTCTTTTGCAGTCCAGTCCAAATGACCTAGTAACGATTTACAGCTAGGCTGACTGAAGGTAGCCACTGGCACAAATCGAAAGCAAAGTTTAAACTCACATCGCCGGAGCCATGGTGAAATGCCTAATTGCTCTGCCACTGCACCCCATGGCATAAACATGATGGTTCTGAAATCTATTTGTAAAACTGGAAGACTTACAAAGTTGAGTCAACTAAGGGTCAGTCACTCAACTTGTGCTTAAGCAGTAAGTCTCAGAGGGTGTGAAGCCCTTAGGGGAAGGAGGCATGCAGCTTTCTGAGTTTTTTCTTTTAACAAAGTGCCCTATACAAAAAAAAAATCCAAACAAAACAGACTGAAACAACTAATGTATGACTCTACCTGTGAACTATGCAAAGTCTAAGAGTGGCTTCCAGCTGAGACAAGCTCACCATGGCTCCTTCAGGCTTGGTTGAATGGGAAGATATTTTTGCCTCATTTCAGAGCGTTTCATTTGATGTCTGTGGGATCTTTTCACATTTTTCCTAATTCATATCATGGCTGAATTCCAAGTGTAGGTTTTACCTGCAACTATCTGAATCATATTACTTATGTAGTGAAGACATAATCCATGATCTTCAGGATTTGCAGTTTATAAGACAAATAACTGGCAGACAGATAATGGAATCCTCTAAACTGAGGTAGTTTTGCCCAATCTGATGAAGAATTCCCTTTAATTAATCAGGAGTAGTTATATCAGTGTTACTCACCATAGTAAATTATATTGGTGTAGGTGTCATCTGTCTGCAGCTTACCTTGAGACAGCCATTTACTCAAGGCAAACAGTCTATTACTAACTCTCCCTCCACCTACTGGAGAGGTGCTGTAATACTTTAATGCTATATGTACCTACATTGGGATAGCTGCACATCCGTCTGCTCCAGATCTCAGTGTAATTTAAACTGGTGTACAAAACCA